CGACAGCTTACCGGATCATATTAAGCGACGTCCCCGTCACTCCGCAGAATCAAAAAGCTATTAGTTTACCCACAACGCAAAATGCTGACGAGAAAAGAATCAATCCGATTAGCCAACAGACTCCAGTTCGAGGCCTCCATCAACCTATGTCAAACACAACTATAAGCTGTTAGGAATTTAACATGGATCTCCATTATCTTGACGCTAGGACTCCGGGATACTTACCACTATACTACAACATAAGTTTCGGCGACCCTCTCAAGAGTTCTCTCCCCTTTGTCTTAGACAAACACCGACTTCTCGTTAAGTGTCTCATTTAGTTTTTACCCTGTAAGCAGCGTCATAACTAAGGACGCGTGCCCTAACTGAGACCTTTGAAAACATTCTTGCCTTCCTCCAAGTGTATACATATACATAAATCTTACCTCAGACTCTTCCTGCAGTCTAGCACAGGAAGGTCAGGTCTCTATCTTGGCCCACCATAGTCTGGTTGATCGAGTCAGATTCACGACCCACCACATTGTTATTTTAGTGGTAGTGCCCTCGCATGTTACACGACGATAGTTTTATTCCTGATAAACATTCAATCACTACTCCCCCCCAAAAAAAACTGAATTGGCTCGACTCTTATCTCGACGACATCCCGCAGGAATAAAACCCTCATAGGCGACCACATCTTTCAAGTCTTTACTCCCTTGGTAAGATGTGGGTCCGCTAGTCAGGTTACAACGATTAGCAACCAACACTAGGGGTTGCGTCCTAGAGATGTTAAACTTTACCGTTAGCTTTTTATTCCTGCAAATGCCTCAACATTAGCACAAGTGGTTGGACGGTGTGTTGCAACAATACAAGCATGCGAGACTACGCAAAGGTCTGTCATACATAAAAGACATTTATCAGTCCTCTGTGGGATAACGCAGGGAATACAACATCCTCTTCGCAGTCACAAAACATAATCACCGCCAAATTTACAAGCTTGTGGCCTCCCAATTTGATCAGAGCAAGAAAGTCACGCATCTCAATGACATCTCACAAATGAATCATCTTTGCGACGTCCCAAATTTCACCAATGGCCAAACAAAAAACTTGATCCTTCTCGTCAGGCTTTATCATTCAAAATCAGCTTTCCATATCATTAAATTTTGTAATCACCTTTCAGTCAAAGGAGGTCTTCCTCATTATGTCTCCCAATCATCCCTTTATCTGATGAACTTCCACACGACCGTTTTAAAACATCTTCTACTTGAAGATGAGTCTCAAAATAAACAAAAGACGACCTTTTCACTTGAAGGCGTCTCAACCATATAACAATTCAACACTGAAAGACCAACTTATGAGTCATCGTCACAACTCAACAATAAACATTCGGCATGGCAAGCATTCGAGTCTCAAAAGACTCATAAATCCTTTAGATCTTTCACGTTCTTCACAAAAACAGACTGCACTTCCTCTCCTTTTACTCGACCATTTTATCCGTCCGTGGGCAGACCGCACGAGTATACCAAAGAGTAGATTGTTCACACCCATTCACCTTCACAAAATACATAACATACAAGATGTTTCCCATACATCTCTCACACAAAATCATCATACATCAGGAAAAAACCATACATGTGAGAGTGATTGTGATCGTCATATACAATGAGTAGTCTCAGGTAAAAACTAAACTCAAATATACTAAAAAATGAGATATCTAATTCGAAACACAATAGTGACTCGAACTCATACACTCGCTCAGACTGAGCAAAAATCACTTTTAATATGGTACAAAGGTAACCACACTATCAATAAACCCCTCAAGATAAAAAAAAAAAACGAAACATAACTCTCAAAGTCGAAAGAAAAGTAGTTTTTGTGTACATATATCATACTGCTGAATCCCAACCCTCAAGTCACTAAAGAAATCCTCAATGGTAGTAATACGCTGTGAATCCTTATCTGTACATGCAAACAGTGTAGGTAAAAAAAATCTGCAAAACAAAAAGCAAAAGGGATGCAAGTCCCTAACTTTAACATGTACACTCTCGACTCAACTCATCTACAGCAATGACCACAACATATAGGCGAACCAGCCCCTACTCACTCATCTCCTCCTGGTTTTGCCTATATAGTTGCGCTCTACCTCTATCAGTTGTCCGCTCCACCACTCTACGCTGTCTATCGAATATCAGCCCACCACTCCCAGTGACCTTTCCTGTCGCCTTGTCCTTCAAAAACTTTGGACACTGCACGGCCCGATGCTCCCCATTCTTGCAAAAGAAGCAGAATAAGTCACCCGATCTTCGACCTCTCTTCTTCTTCTTATGAGATCCTGGCGATGAGGGTGCATCGCTAACTTCCCTGACCACCTCCTGACACTGAGGCATGTTCATGGGCTCCTCAAGTCTTGCCTCCATTGTCTGAGTACTCGGCTCTACCTGCATCCCAGCTCCTTTTAGTCTGTACTCAGGTGTGTCCAATCTTTGTGGCCTGTCCTCATACACACCCTTCATCGCAACCGTTATGTCCCCCTCGCAAGACATTTTCATCCCCTGCTCGGGCATAGGCGTGCTCACTCCCTCCTGCATAGTGCCGAGCGCCTCTAGAAGCACATCCATAGATCCCTCGTCTGACCCAAGCGCAGACTCACTAGCAACTGACCCTGGTCTGTCTCTGGCCTGAACTGGCAGAGACTCTGTTATGGGCTCTGAAGAAGCTGGAAGCTGAGTGGCAAGCTCTGTAGGCGCTTTGAACTCAAAGACCTCCTTTTCTGCCTCCCTCTTTGCCTTCGCTTCCTCTGACTCCAGGATAACCTTCCCAATGGATGGCTCCTGGGAAGAACTTGCCGCAGATGGCTGCCCAAATAGACCCTGTACCGCCTCTCCCTAGATACCATAGCGAGAACTCTCAGTCCAATCCATCACCTTGGTAGGTGTCTCCCTGTCAAACCTCGCTGGCATATCCTGAAGTTGTCGCCTCATGTCCTGGATAAAAGCGGCCTGACTAGCCATCTGCGCCCTGAGCTCTCGGATGTTTGCCTCAACCGCCTCCAAATGCACTGCCTCACTCACTTCCTTCAACTTCTTCCTAGCGAGATCACCCTTCAACATCAAATACCTTTGGAAAAATATCTTGGCTAGAAAACGGAGCTTGCGATCCAAGTAATAATCTATCGACCTCGATGTCTCGAGTCCTGCTCTCTCTGGTACAACGAGTCCCTCAGAGCTCTGACTCCAATATTCGTCCCGCATCTCGATGACCCCGTGGGGTCTAGGCAGCACACCTGGTGGCTGGTCAGGGAGAGCCCCTGCTGCCTCCAATCTCTCTCTCTCTTGCCAAATCTCCTCCAGACGTTTACTTGTCCTGACCCGCTTCTCCTCAGTTGTCTCTCCCGGTGGCGTTCTCCATCCTGTAGGACGAATTTCCCTCACTGGGATCTCAACTCTTATCTCTGTCGCTGCCTGACGTGGCCCGTGATGGCTCAGTGGATGCGGGTTCCATGATATCAGGGTGCTCCTGGGCACATGCCGCCAGATGTGTGTCAACAATGGAAAGGACCTCTCTCCTCCAATCCGGCTTCTCTTGCTCCACCTCTACTCTCATCCCCGGTGAAAACGTCATATCTGGAGGAGAAGATGAAATCTCTCTATGCTGAGGCTCCTCTCCCACCTCATGAGCCCCCCCTGGTACTGCCTCAGACCCGGGTCCAGGAACTGGCGTCTGAGGAGTATCCTCCTCAACCTCGATCACCTCCTTTGCACTCCGCTCACTCAGGATACCCGGCTCTGCCTCTCGCTGTGGCTCTCGAGTCCCTGCCACCAATGCTTCCTCTGTCCGCTCATCTCGCTCTCTACTTGCTAGCAGGGTTGTCGACCCCCGGCCCCGTGACCCCGCCGGGGTTCCGGGGTTCCGGGGGTCGGCACCCGGGACCCCGGCCCCCTGTAGGGGAAAAAAAAAAAAAAAAAAAAAAACAACAACAGAGGGGGGTGCGCACCGCCGGCGTGCAGCCCCTGGCATTTTTTGTGTCCTGCAAAAAATGCCCCGACACGGGGTCCCCCCCGGGGGCGCGGACCTCCCTTGGCGGGAGCGGGGTTGTCGCAGCGCGGGGTTGCCGCAGCGCGGGAGCGGGGTTGCGGAGCCGGTGGTGCGGTGGCGGGGGTACCCTGCAGGCCAGCGGGGTTGCGGGGTTTGCGGGGTCCCGCCGGGGGTCGGGGTTGCGGGGCGGGG